GACTTTTTTTCAATTTTAATATTTGGTGTTATGTTTTTTGGCAACAAGAAGGCAAAACATAAACTACAATTCAAACATAATATTTTTACTATAGGTATAGAGAAGGAAAAAAAAACACATTCTGTAAACAACCATGAAGCCAAAAGTCTTAGCTAAAGCAGAACTAATGAAACCTTCAGAAGTGTCCTCAAAATAAGTTTGTATCTAGAACAATGCTGCTTTTTCCTTTTCAGCCACTGCTCTGCACAGACCTTTCACAAATCTGAAAACGATTTCATTTAGTGAGGTGTTCATATTCAGAGTCAGTGGATGGAATCATCCAACCTCCTGTGCCTCTGAAGCTGCATTCTCTAGAAGTACCACAGGAAATGGAAGTTTAGAGAAATAATACTTGACCTGGTGCGATTCTCCCATCTTGTGCAGCAGGTCCATCTTTTAACACATTCTTCACCTGGAGAAACTCATCAGGTCTGTCTCCTCCAATGATTGTAAAGCCAAATCCCATTGTACTTTTTTTCAGCGATGTTCGTATAAGTGCTCCTGTAAGCTGAGATGGATCTCTAGTGAAGACAGACTTCTCTGGTGCTTTTGAATTATGGAGTAAAGAGACATGAAGGTAGGAAACCAGGGTTAGTTTTGGTAAGTTTTTTGTTTGTTTAATGTGTCATAAAGGTTAATGATTTGTTTGATTAACATCTATTAACCTCTCTAGCACTGTTAAGGAGTAAAGCAAACAAGATACTGTTACACTCACTGCATAGCTGAGTTAAGGGAATGGAAAAGTTGAGTTTTTTCAAGACTATAGTACAGATTACAACAGAGCTGGAACTAAAGCTCTTATAATTCCCAGTTTTACACTTTAACCCTTGAACACCAAAGCTTAAAGTAGATCAAAAGCATAAAAATTCAAGGTGTGGTTTTACCTCCATCTTCCAGCTGGTTCTTCTAACCCTCCGTATACTCAAAAGCTGCTTATGACAGCCAGCTTCAGAACGATCAAAATTATTTTAAAGCAGTCTTAGGGTCACAGTTCAATTTTAACATTCAAAAAAACCAAAACAAAAAAAACAAAAACCAAAAAACCAACATTCAAAAAACCCTACAGATCTGTGAGGGCAACACCACAATGGCTGGTAAAAAAACAAGGCTAATTCCTTGATGAATTCCAAAATTTGGTTACTTACAATGCATACCTGCAGATAAAGATATTAGTGACAAAGAACACAATGTTCATTGATACCTGATTTTGAAGGGCCAACATCAGTCTGTCCTAGCTGTTTTTTTCTTTTGGCTTCCAATACTGGGTTTTCAAACTGAGTTCTCTGGTTAATATGACTGTAGACATACAAAAGGTAGCTCAGGATTTCAGTAGAAAACATTCTGCCTTTTTCACAGAAAAGACAACCACAAAAGATACATCTACAAATACTACTTTTTATTATCTCAGATTAATGCTCTGGACGAATAAATGATAAATTATCATAATCAACACCGAAAGCATTTTTGTTCTTTCGAAAACTTGACGTACTGTAAGAGGCAATACAATTTTACTTCCTGTAATTATTAGGTAGCCTATACCTTCATTCCCCTCCACAAATTTTCAAAATGTCATTATAGTTTAGAACAGAGAATAATCTCCCTTTTCTCTTGGCCCTATGTGTTGCTTCCATCTACCTATAATGTTTACAAACTCAGGCATCGCTTTTTACTAGTAGATGCCAGAGTAATACAGCAGAGAGGAAAAAAAAAAAACAGTAAGTTTGAGCAGAATTTAAATACCTGTCTTGGCTTTGTAAAGCCAAAAAAGGTTAGCTTGTTCTCTGAAGCTAACATTTTCAACGCTACTAATTTTCTTCTCCATGGTTAAAGAGAGATTTCATTTACTCGGAGCTGAAGGAGATTCAAAATAGCTCTTGGCGCAGTTCAGTAGTTATTTACATGGCTCTTTGGAGATAGCAATGAGACGTAAGTTATCTTTGCTCTTGGTGCCACTCTTAAATCAAGAGGACCCATTTTTGTTAAAGCTAAGAAAAATGACATTACCTCGTTCCCATTAATAAGTTACTTTGTTGCTACTTGCTTTCCCTCCCCAAACCAAATACACTCCAGTAAGTCCGTAAGGTCACACCATGGATCTTCCCACATGCCAATGCTCCAGGAGTGTGCACCATGTGTTCATTGGCCCTAGAACTGTTTCTGCTGGATATGTTTAACACTTGCATTGTATTACAGCCTCTACATACTACATATCAAGAGCTTTTGTAATTTTCTGCTCAATTTGTAACTATATCAAATTAATAGTTAGCACTTACTCAACATAGTATGTTCCATATTGAGGGTCTTCTATTTTTTCCCATCCATAAGGAAGTTCTGCAATCAGAAAGACCAAATTCTCCATTACAGTGGAAAACTATCTGCAAATATCAGAGTTCTTATGAAGGCAAACAAGAGGACAGATTACAGACTCATGAAAAATACAAGGAAAATACAGGTCCTTTTTTCTTCATTTGTTTGAGGCTGGTCCTTCTGATGAAAGGATTTCAGCCTGTTCTAGGGAATCTGAAGCCCTATAACTCTCACTCTTTCTTCCACTAGATGAGGAGACTTGTATTCAACAAAATCACACCACTTCAAACATATAATAAACTTAAAGACAAGATACAAACTAACCTATTTAGAGAGGAAGAACCTATAAAGGGGAAGAAAAATACATTATTTAAAATTAATCTAATTATAAATTATGAATGTGATTTGATAGTTCTCAACTTTTTAAATTATACAATATGAATACGGTCTCATCGCTTCTACCCACAAATACACCACAAGAGAGAGCCATAAACGCCTCACAGTATCACATCCCAAGCTTGTAAAACCATGCATCGCCGTTCCTCTTGTACTTTCTGTTTAAGACCACCTGGCAGAAGTAATGCCACTTGTATTTATTCTCTCAATAACATCAGGATATTTCACTCTATTCTCACAATGTGTCCGTTTTCAGTCAACCCAAGAAACCTTCGGTCAGAAGTATAACAGCCATACGTGGTAAGTAAGAAGAGAGACCCCACCGTGGCAGACTATTTCGCCCTGATGTTTACAATACAGTGAGATACCGTAAACCCCCTAAAACATGTTTACATCTGGCCGCAGCAAATTCAGTGCAGACTGCCTGGCCTGCCAAGGTGCCGAAATGCAGTTCTGTGCTGCTGCAGCTTGACTGCTCTTGCAGCCATAGCAAGCTAGCTGACAGTGGCTCAGGCTTGGAGTGCCTTGGACATCCCTATATTAGGGGTCTAAAATAAAAAATTACCTGTTTGATATAGGTACTGAAAGTTACATGTGAAAAGCTCCTTTTTATGGCAAATTCAGAATCTGGTAAGATGGTGCTCAGCAGCAGATCATTACTGACTGAAGGTGATAAGCGGTTAACACAGAGGTCCAATTTTCTAGCTTTACTGTTCTAACTATCTTGACCATGGAAATGTAAATATTAGAATGGATACAGTCAGGTAGCTAGACATTTTAAAGGACAAAGTTGCTATGTAATCTTGTTTGAGGTTGCCCTACATTTGACGGCAACGGGAATTTTCCTAGCATATGACAGCATTTTACCAATTATCAATACTAGCATCACTCCACACAGTTTGACAGAAGACTCAGTGGGTCTGTTCATTTAAATGCTGTTCATTTGGATATCCTGCATCTCTCTGTTTAAAGTGCTCTTTTTATCCCTTGCTGAGCTGTACATATGTTTAATAAGCAGCAGTACACGTCCATTGCTCCAGCTGGCTTCATTATGAATACCTGGTGGTTAGGCTGTGCAACTTGGGAAGATGACAGGCTATTCTGAGTCTGCCTCAGCTTTTGTAACATGTCAGGCATTTGCCAAAGACAGAACTATTTGGTACTCTTTTCTAGCTGACTAAATTGTATGACTGTATAGGAAATGGTAGTAGGAACTGTCGGTAGGGCAATCATGAACCTGACCTGTAAGTCTTGAAGCAAGAGCATAAAGAGCTGTAGGGAGTCAAATTGTTCCCTCTACTTATGCATTCAAATATTGTATCATGTGACATGCAATAGGTATTATGCTGTATCTTCTTTATTATTCCTGTATTCTAATACTTATGGACCTTTTTCTCCTGCCTTATTCCACCTGCACAACAATCTCCAGTGAGATTATCACTAATGTATGCAGCTTTCTCCTCAGCAATGATAGTTACTGGAACAAAATATCTCATTCTCTTCTCAGGAATGCAGATAAACCCATGATTCAGTCAGATTCTACTGTTCCAGCGAAAATACACAATGGACTTTCCCAGTCTTATGTAAACTCCTGTTTCCACCACGCTAGGGACACTCAGCACTACACTGCCTGCTCCAGAGCCATGTGTACCAGGAAGAAGTTTCTACTGCAGCAGTAACGGATTCTATCCAGCTGTGATAAACTCAGACATTTATCAGTCACATGTGACAAATGAATTCTCAACGTCTCACCTCCATCTTCACAATCTTCAGGAGCTTTGGCCTTCTTACAGAGTCGCGGATCAAGCCACGTGGTTGTCTTGGTGTTATGACTGTGGAGCAGAACACATGCCATTAAAAGAAGAGAACTCCCTCAGACTGAAGAAACTTTGCTTTACTTTAACTTTCAAATATTTACTACTATGGGCAAACTGTAGCCTTTAGACAATATAATCTTTATTTGTGCCTTGGTCACATCATAAAATGCTAAAAAGAAAAGGCAACAATGATGCTCAGAGGTACCAGCACAATGGAGACTCTCCAGGACAGATGTGAAATGTTAGCGGTACAAACACTCTCCCCCGCCCCCGAGAGCTCATGTGGGAATAGCAGCTGTTTCTACCTGAAAGGAAAAAATATTTTTAGCCTCATCTTATGCTTAACTCTCAGTAAGGTTTCTGTTTCATTTTTGCCTTAGAACTCATAAATGAGGCTGTTTCACATGTGCACATATGACCTACTTTCCTATCCTGGGCTTTAATCTGTGCTATTTGTATTTTTAAGCATGCATTCCCAGCCAAGGAACACAAGCAGTGAAGAAAGAATAAACAAGCTCTCAGATTTCAGAGAAATTTGACATAGTGAAGGTTTTGTATGATGTTATACCTCGCTTAGCAATACCCACCCAGCTTTGTATTTTGTGAGATACAAAACTCGTATTACAAACAAACTGACTTTGCACATAGAACCATAAGGCTTTCCTGCACGATGGCAATAGTATCAAGCATGCAACATAGGTGACCATCAGTAAGGAACGTAACAGTAGGAATATATTAAATTTCATAAAGAAATAGAAGCAGTAAGGGCAGAAGAAGAGAGATGTAAGGGCAGCAGGCAGCTTCCTAGACTGCAGCCCATCAGCGCTTCACTCCTCCCAAGGGCACAGTAATCCCTCTGCAGCGTCTGTCTACTCACTCAATGAAGTAGATCATGCCAGTGTCGGTGTAGGCCATCTCCCAGTTCTTAGGCAGCGGTTCCAGGGTTTCATCCCTCGACAAGTAATTTCTGAAGTCCATGGAGCTGCTTGTCTGGTTGTAGCTGGGAACAGGTTTCATCCAGTCAGGAGAATCTGAATGTTTTTCTTTGTTTTCTGCAGTTGTTCAGGGAAAGTGTTACTATTTGTCAGATGCTTATGTTGTTTCTCACAAAGAACCACCCTCTCAATCTGGCTACGAGTGGATGTCAAACACGTCCTTGTATGTGATGTGCATTTTTCCACTTTTATTTTTTCAGCTCTGAACTTTGAAAAGCTAACATGAAAACACTGAACTCTGCTCTTCCCCTGCCAAACAGAATTAACTTTGTATTATGCGTCTGAGCCTACTCTGAAAAACCAATGCTGGCAGAAATCCAAGTCGACTACATTTTGTTGCTGTTCTGACATAGAGAACAGTGTTTGTAATGTCATCAAAAAAACCCCCAAAATCCTACTAATATTCCTCAAAGCACCAGAATGAAGACTCAAACTGCCAATAAAACAACCACCACCCCCCCTGCAAGCCACAAGAAGAAAAAGTTCCCCAAAATCCCTGTCAAAAACTTTAAATGCAAGCCTCCACCCTTCAGTCCCAAGGTTATGCTTGGTATCCTCTGTCACATGGCAATGCCCATGACCTTCACCCAACCACCAGCCCGGGTACCGGGCCGCTCTGTGCTGTGGTGTTGCCAGCCTCGAAGCCAGAAAGATTAGGTCAAGTCTGGTCAATATAAGTCTGCCTTAAACACTCACACACAGGATCATCTGCAAATGCAATGTGACGGTTTCTCTCCACCATCAGTTCTTCCCCCTCGAGATGAGTAACCATGACAGCGAAAGGAAAAGGGCATCCTGCCAATCTCTGAAAGGTCCAACTGGACACTGGTCCAGTCTCAACGCACTTGGCTTTATTTCTCTCCAAAAACTCCCCTTCAGGCAGTTTCAGGTTGTGCGATAGCTCCCTTAACCAAAATCAGCTGAAAATTTCACAGTATGAGCTAGTGCTGCCCCTTAAACCAATCACTTCACTAAAATCTTCTGCTTACAAATTCAGTAATCTCCTCAAAATTAAACAATAACATTTACAGGCTATGAATTATACTCTGCAAAGGATGCCGTTATTTGAAGAGTGGATAAATTTTTCCTTCCTCCTCATGTAACTGGCCGATACCCAGCACTACATGTTCTCTACTGAGCAGTGCACTTTATGATGCAATTGCACATCTGGTTGGGAGAACAGCTGTTTCTTTTTAAAAGATAATTTCCAAATTGAGTAAAAACACCAGTCTGAGTAGAAATCTGCCTTCAAACTTTTATGAAAACTAAGGAAGCGGTTCAAGCAAGCATGAATGTTACTTGTATACTTCTTATCCGTTCATACAATACTTCAGGGAATTTCTCCCCTTGTCAACCAACCTATCCCTCCGCTGCCATTAACTGCTTCCTTTTCCTCCTCTTCCTCCTCTTCAGGGAGAGAACTGTCCATCCTTTGCATTTTGCTGACGGATGTGGTTCTTTTCCTCTGTGATTCGGTATCAAAATCATTGTCAAAAAGAACTTGATCCACTGGATCAGGCTGAAAGGGGCTGGGCTCTGCTGGAGGCTTCGGAGTACCGTAAAAATTACCTGACAGTGAGACAGAAATCAAGATCACTAAAGCACTGATACTTGCTGAAAAGTACTGGCAGCGGCAGCAAATGTTTTATTGCCCATGTAACGTGGTTTTGGTGAACGACCTGAATTGTAACTCAACTTCTTAAAGAAGACACCACCACTATCAAAAACCAATCAACAGTCAAAACCTATTTATTCCTACATTGTCTTTTTGCCAATGATGCTATTGGACATAAGAAAGCAATAGGTTTCATTCAAAACTTCTATCCTGCCACACGCTTTCAAAGAAAAAGACAGATTTGTTACTTTCCCTGGAATTTACTAATGCTCCATAAAGAGACTTGGGGAACAGTCTGAGAAGCAAAAGAGTGAAAAATCACTTGTTCTTACTTTGTATACTGATTAACTGATTAACAGAGTAATATGTAGCAACAGAAACACACTGAAGTCAAAAATCAAATTAATTTTGTGCAGAAACATAAAGTATCTATTTACATTAAAAGTTACAAATAACTGGTTTTAAAACTACAGTCCTACAATTTTCTACTGACAATACACTTGGTAAACAAAGAGGTTAATATAGCTTCATCTAAAAATGATTTGTACTTGAGAAAGATGAACAGATTTTTACTTCAATAGTTTAATCTAAACCACAAAGACTAGGAATCATCTGTTGTTTTCTGGAAACAAATTTCAGCAACTGACCTCTCTCCTGACTGTTCATATGATTTTTATTAGGGAATTGAGCATACAGCAAGAGAGCTTCCCAGAATTCCCGCTGGGGTAACTCTTGGTGGCTGGATACAGTTTTGACAAAAAAAAAAAAAAAAAAAAAAAAAATCAGAAACCTTTCTGAAAATCAGTGAGGGCAAGGCTCAAAATGGTGACAGCCAGATAAAGGGGAGCTAAGTAAAAAAAAGTGCTAGTTTAGTCTAAATTTGCTTAGGATATTGCCACAGACAGGACAACGTTAACAGACAGCATGAGACATGTAAAACAAGGAAGTACAGAGGTACGGAGCCTTTCACAGGATTTTCTATTTTGGACATTCTCTTGTCTTTGGACACAGAATTATTTAAATTCATTCAAGTGCCAGTAAAACCACCACCAACCAAACAAGTCCTCTAGACGCATGCTTAAAGTTGCTTGAATCTAATCAAATATATGTTAAACACATCTAAAAATCAGGTAGGTTTATAATCTGGTAAATTCTGTTGAGTATCAATGAAAGCTGCACATGCTCAGCATTTCTGAAAATCTACAATTTAAGTTAACTACAGCTATATATTTGAAAAAATACAGACAGATCATATTTCAGGTTTTATACACTTACATACAAAAAGCAACATGAGACGTTTGCAATTTGTTCTGTTCATGGTGTGTCAAGAGGCCAGTTGTCCAATAGTAAAAACCAGCAGAAACCAGGCAATCATTACTTGAAACCCATCTGCAACCGGTCACAATCCACAGTAGTGCAAGACAACCCAGGGCTGAGCCAGTCAAATGGGTATGTCACAGAATCATAGAACCGTTTAGGTTGGAAAGGACCTTTAAGGTCATCAAGTCCAACCGTAAATCTAGCATGGCCAACTCCATCACTAAACCACGTCCCTAAGCATCATGTCTACATGCCTTTTAAATGCCTCCAGGGATGGTGACATGTCCTCCCTCTCACTTTAAACAAAGCTGTGTTTCGGTCTGTCCCCCCATCTCGGAGTGCAGGGATGTGAGGAACTTTAAAGTTATCTGACTGCCATAAAACCCTTTAAAATAAAACAAACCAAAGCAAAGCAAAAGCCCATCATACGGTGGCAGCTCCATGACTCCTCTAAGATAACCAGTTCCTGATGGTTCACTACCTTCATTACCATGTTTTTCCCCATTACATTTAAGAAAACCAACATTGCTAGAGATTTGGACAATCTGGTCTAGCACTGTTCAATTTTTCATTGCAAAATACTTTTTTTCCCTGCTGTATCAGAATTTCCCTTGCCTTCTGTCCTTTTGACGTGTGCCTCTGAGAAGAGCATGGCTCTGTTCTCAGAAGGTTTAAACAAAATTGTCTGAATTCTGTTGAAACAAAATTATACCAAGCATAGACAAACATTTTCACAATGCTTCCTCAAAAATGTAATAGGGAAAATAATCAGATGGCATTAAGACTGGTTGAAAGGGTCATCTGTGATTTAGTAGAGAGCTGTAAAACAGGACCACTACTCCTCTCCACAGGTAGGCCAAAATAGACTTAATATTGCCACTCTACTAGTGTAATGACCATCAATGGGCAGGAAAAGTGGCACCTCCTGGGTACAAGGAGCTATGCTTAGACCAAGATACTGGACGTGAGCACTGGGTTTTTATTCCCATTCCATTAAATGCCATCAACATACCATCATACGTTCCACTTTCTAGCAAGGCTCCACTTTCTTCCAATGCTTTAAACTGCTCAACAGGAATGAAATTGTAGTCTACCCCAGGGACCTCCCCATCTCTGGGAGCCCTTGTAGTGCCTGAAAAGACAGAGAAAACACTCCTGTAAGATACTTAAGTGCTGCCTGTTTACCAAATGCTGCCTGTTGTACAATTCAGCAAAAAACATGTATTTTTGAATCTTTAAACAATGATGATGTCACTCCAGTAAGAGAAGAGTTAGAACACCAGTGAGCAAGTGAATAATAATGCATAAAAACTAGGCTGATAAATTATGTAGTAATGACAGTTCTGGTGTTGAGGAAGGAGGAGAAGAAAAAGCTGGGTGAGGTGGTGATTAGAGAGAATTCTTTCTTATGCTCAGTGAACCGAAAACTTCTGCTGTGGAAGCTGATGATGCCTGGGCCAGGCAATCGCAGCCTGGGATTCTGGGGAGCTGTTTAACAGCTGTGGTATTTTGACACAGCTGTAAGGGTGCTTCATCTCTCTACTGTTTCCACTGGTACCAACTCCTTAATTTGCAATGATGTCAGTGTGACTAAGCACATTTGATTTTAGGGCCACCAAATCCATAAGTGGGCACAGAAACTATTTTTAACCTTACAATTCAGTTTAATTCATCTATATTCTAAACCCTGGCTGTGGTAAGCTTTTTCAAAGTAATCAGTAAATTGCTGTGTTAATGTAGAAGTTCTCAAAGTCTTATGTCTATAAATATGGGCCTTCCATAGTTATAATGGCTAATTAAAGCTCTCCTGGAAGGGACTCCACTGATTGATTACTGCCTACAACCTAACAGCATTTTAAAGGCACATGTCAATTTTTTCAGGCAGCAGCATGAACAAGAGCTGTAGTAAATAAGCTGCATTTCACTATTGTTATCTTTTAAAGAAGTCACAAACTCCTGAGCACACTCAGTATGCTAATGATGCTAAATTGAGAATGGAATTCCTGTAGTTACAAAAACGTTAGTTGATAAACTTTTAGGTTTTTAGTGCAATGAATATTTAAATACAGTCAGTGATAAGCCTTTTAATCAATGAAGATTTGAGACAGAGTAAAGAATGATCTTGTGATAATTAAGAAGTGAAATGACACAGAAGGGTGAGAAGCAAGGATGGGATATTTGGCAGCTGTCAGCATGTCCTGTACCTTGAACGGTGCCTTCTATAAATGTCCACTCGTGGGAGCAGTAACCTTTAGGCACCTCGCTAAAGGCAAGTTAACACCTGTGCTGGCTGGACCGAGAGACACTAGCAGATGCTCAGCGCAGAAGGGCTGGCATCCCTGATGAGACAGGCCCATCCAGATTCTCTCACTGATTAATTCTTGCTGTGACACTAAAGTTTGTCCACGCGTTGTTTCTTCCTCCTCTTCTTGGGCCACGGATTCACCCTCCCTCTTGCCACCATCTCCCTGTACTGTCTTCTCAGGATGAGCAAACAACAGTTCTCCCGTATCTTCTGTCATTGCAACCTTTTCTGCATATAATCCCTCCTGCAACTTTCCTTCCAGCTGCACTACTCTGCCTAATGCACATGACCTCTCGATGTCTCAGTTTCCTCTTTGTGCAAAAACCAATACATTGACAAAAATCAGGACGTGTCTGCACTGCTTGATCACGCTGAGGAAGATTTATTTCCCATGGCAGCTGTGGTTATTCTAACAACAGACAAACTTCCAAGGAGTAAAACAGGTATTACTGAAGCACTCTGAGCTTTGAATTCTGAAGTTTTTGCTCTTTTGTCAGTCCACATTGGCCATCCCTTTTCATTGCAACTTAAGATACGAAACTATTCTAGCAAAGCCATTTACAGAAGTTCCTGCTGCAAGGTAAAACCAGAAACCAGATTAAGAGAGAAGGCATTTAAAGCTCTCAAATTATGTGATGGTTAGCAGTCACAGATCAAATGAGGCTGATTTTTTACATACTTACAAGGGATGGTTCTCAAGTAGAGATTGTCTCTGATCACTTGCTGGAGTTTATGGTCTATCGAGCCCTTCTGGAACTGAAGGCTCAAGTAGTGGCGCAAGTCTTTGTTGATGACTTTTCCTTAAAAAACAACAAACAAGAATAACTTGTAAAAATTAAGCAGGATCTCACAAGAAGAATGGCATTTCACTGGTACAAACGTTTAAAAAAAAAAAGAAAGCAGCAGAAAGAGTTGGGTTGCTTTAAATGCAACGGCCTGAAAGAAAAAGCCATTCTATGCTACCAAAGCCTGACACTCTGCTGCTATAAACTGGCACAGTGATTTTAAGCACAGCTGAGCAACAAGCATCCAACCTCAGTACCTCCCAATCAAGACAGTGTCAATATTCTTGAATTGTTTGGAAATCTAAAAAGTATTAAAATACAAGATCTATTACCAAAATTAAAAATCTCTACAGACAGGAAACTGCTTCAAAATATAGTGATAATACTTTCTATTCAATTTACGTCTCCTGGCTAGGCATCTGAACTCAATGTTTTGTCACATGGGAATCTGCATTCTTGATACTACTTAAAAAGAAAATATTTTCTTTTTACAAACACTGCATGAGAGAAGAGAGTTTTTTTACAATTATTCCTTTGCAATACTTCTGTCAGGTATCATTAGCGGATCTGTCATATCGCTAGATAACCATGGCCCCTTCAGCACACAAATAACTGAGCTCTTGTATTACTGTTTCATGCTTCTGACAGAAGGGTACAAACCAATCTTTTGTACCCTGTCATCTTCCCAGAAAGCAAATTAAATAGGGTTCAGTGACCTTGATAAATTTAAGTTACTACAGCAGAACACTCAGGGCTTTAGGGAAAAAGACTCAGTCTTTGTCTTCAAAACCCAATCTAGGAGATGGCCGGTAGCAAGCGTACACTGGTGTATCACAACAGCGGGAACAAAAGCTGGACCAGACTACTGCTCCTTTTAAAATCCATCAGGAACAGGTTACAAGATGTGTAAACCTGCTGTAGGAGTGATTCTGACAGGAGCTTCTGAAGCCTGCTGAGACTAGCTGCTGAAGAGACCACCTCAAAAGGCCCAAGAATGAAATGGGGCACAGACCCACATCAGTCTTAATACAAAGCTCACCTACACCTTAAACCGAGATTACTGTACTTACATAAAATATCAAATTTGGAAAAAAAACCCCAACAAACTAAAACCACCAAAACCCAAAAAACCCTTCCACCGCTAACTAAGTTTCCCAATCATGTGTCACTGCTGCAAAGTTGGTTGCACGTTTTGGTTCTGGCAAATTTATACCTTACCTTCTCTTTTTGCCAAGTCAAGGGCAGATACACACCTTATACTCGTCTCTCAATCATTATGTCGGCTACCACCGTTCACGAACAGCAAACCGTATTTTAACTTGCACCCTTTCCCCTCCAGGCAAAACAATGGCATGCTAGAAAGTATTTAAAAGTGAAACCAAGACTACCTATCAGCCCTCTTTTCATAGAGGTCTGTACTGTCCATAAATTAAACAAAATCCAAGCAAAAACACCCTAAGCCCCCAAGCAAAGAAAGAAAAACCCCTCCACGCAGGCACACACGCCCGAGGAACACAGGCAGCACACCCAGTGCTTCACATGAGCCCTCAGCTCCAAATGAAGTCCATTTCTCACCCTCCCTTAATGCTGTCATTTATTTGAAAATTACGTGCAGAAACACAAAAAGCATTTTACAGCATTGAGATGACACCACAGCACAGTTCCCACGCTTTCCAGAGTCACACAAGCCGTACAGTAATTCCCACTAACACGGGTGGGGTCAGCAGCACCCCCCGACTCCTGCCCAAACAGAGAACTCGCAGAAACTCCACAGCTCCCCGGGGCCCAACACGCTCTGCTATTAGCTGGGGGCTCGCTGTTCAATTCCCTGTTTTGCCATCATGAGCTGTTCCTTACAAAACTCTGGATTTGCTTCCTGCAGCATAATGAGCAAAACATGTCATGGAAAATGAAAACAAATGGTGTAATCTCCAGCAAGAAAAAATATTTTCCATTTGTTACTACAAATCACTTCATTGTTTGTAGACAAGATGGTTTCTCAACATTAAAGAATGTTTTACCACTAAAATGGTCCATCCATCTCCCTGTCAAAGCCAGATCTATAGCACCGCACTTTAACAATACAAGCGTATTTCACTTAGGCAGATCAATACACACATATTTCACTCAGGCAGATGAATCTGGTCGTTGGCTACGTTCAGAGCGTTGCATGTTGGAAAAACTTGGAGAGAGGTGAAAATCTGTACTAGTTACAGAGGCTTCATTTAGATCTTACCCCCTTGATGTTTTAAAATTTAAAAGCTCGTAAACCCTCCTCAATAAATATCAACTCAGCCCCAAAAAAAAGTAAAAGCAAAGCAGCTACCAAGGATATACTGACACCGAGGGATTAGTCTTAACATTAAAACCTTAAAGACTGGACTATACTCTGAGACCAAGATGACTAAATTGAAGATTGAAAGGATTGCCTGGGGAAAACAGAAGTAAGTCAAACAAAATTGTAGGCAGAGAGAAAATGGCAGAAAGTCACATAGAGAATGATGCGCAATAGAAAGCAGAAAAACAAATAGTAAGGATGCTTTAGGCAACCTCCAGAGCTTGTTCTTACGCAAAAGCCACATATTTCCCCTTCAGGAGCTAAACATGCTCCTTTACATTGTTTCACGCAGGCTTTTAGGAGAACCTTGTGTATCAGACTCTCCGAAATGACGTAACAAACGTCGGGTTGGTGTTTGTTGTGCTGCTGAGCTGTCTCTGAAGGATGACACACGCAACACAGGGACCAGTCAAGAGGAATAACGTACTTTACACCATTCAGGTCCTGGAAGATGAACAGGCACAAGCCTCTTGTTTTCAGTTTTAGTTTAAATTAACCACAAAGGATCTGTTTAAATGAGGATACGCACACTGCAGCTCGGTAAGGAAAACTAAGCGACTGCAGGAGAAAAAAGGCTCAAGTACCACTGCAGCAAAATACAGTGCTGTGAAGGACAGAGGCAAGTACGAGTGACACGGACATTGTGAAAAACAGGGCTGGTGGCTTTCATTTCTCGTCACACCACAAACTGCAACAGTAAAGGTGCCTTTGCTGCTGTACCTAAGCAGGACGAAGATAGCTAGTTAGACATTCAACCTGTCATGGAAACCCTGAAGTGTACATATTGCAATTACAAACAGGTGAGTATTGCCACGGTGCTACTAGAACTCAACTCAAAGAAGTCCATTTCTAAATTAGCAATGTTGGTAAAACAGCAAAGCTCAAAGTTGAAATATGCAAATAAATTCCAAGAATTCAATCTGTGAAGACTTTATGTTGCTTTCCAGTAAGTCACAGCAAAACAAATGTCACAAGTACATCTGGCTAATGCTGCTAGTATATGGAATATCTGTGACATCTCCCACAAATCACTCTGAAGACCACGTGGAAATCCTCCATTTCGTTTTGATGCACATTTTATGCAGACAGCCATAGGTGACAACTTTCTAGAGTATGGCACGTCGTATTCACTGCACTATGCAGTGAGCTATACTCCGAAGTTTCCATGCCAACACCTCCCAGACACAGTGGCATCTACACGCTAATAAGGAGCTGCAATGCTGATGGGTGAATTAATAAGTGCACGGTGTTTTTCTTTCAAAATTTTCGAAAAACACTGTTAATTATAAAAGCAATTTTTCAAAGTAGCACTTTATTTAAAAGCATGCTATCTTCCTATTAAACTATACAATTCATGACTAGGGCTTATACTGTCACTGTAGCCTTTAGCACAAAAACGTACTTGAAGGGAATAGATGTGAGAATGGAATTCCATCCCCTCTTCTTGGAGTACATTTTTAAGAAGCCTGTCTGCAGTCCCGGTGTGTTCCACTGGTAAATTGAGGGGGGGCGGCGGGGACGACACGCACACCCCAACAAAAGACCCCGAACCCCAAAAACCTCCGCACAGTTCAGGGCAGGCAGGGCGGCAGCTAAGGCCGTTGCCCAGGGCAGGGCAGGCAGGAGGGCGTCCCCGGGCCAGGGGGCTCAGGGAGGAACGGGCCCCGCTC